TGTGTGTGTGTGTGTGTGTGTGTGTGTGAATATGGCAACCTTCGAGCTGGACGGGATGACAACCAGACTGGTCACGAGAGAACACCATTTCTCCGACCGACGATGTGTCTTCTGCCGCCGCAACTAGAGCCCGAATGTTTCTCCACTCCACACAAGTGATGTTAAGATGTAAAGATAGGTACATTTAACCAGTTAGCATAGGCATAGCCAGCATCGATACTTTAGTATCAAAAACTGCACCACTTTTGCCAGGATACAGTAGAGACATCAGATATTTACGAGATAAACAACATAATTTTCTCCGATGAATTTGTTTACACATAAACAAGACCAGAATATTTGTATACAATAAAATTGCTCGAAGAGAGTAAAATGAAGGGATAGCGAGAAAAAATAAGCAAGTCTCATCAAACCGGATGTGGATGCCGCGCGAGAACAGTCGAGGGATTCACGACTAGTCGCACAGGAAGAAGAATGACAATTACCAGTTTGCCTCCGTGTGCATAATAGAAGGTCGCACCATCGGCCCACATAATCTACTTTTAGTCGTCAACATACCATATTTCAGCAACAGCTGAAATAACGAATTCCCGAGTGCAATCGATCTGCTTAATTACACATTTCCTATTCATTTTCACAATATTTTTGAAGTTAGTCTGCCCAGTAAACTTATAGATAATAAGAAATATTTGAAATAAACGCCAAATTTTCTCAAGTTTAGAATAATTACTTTGCTAACTGTATGAAATATAATGTCTAAATTCACCTGCCCCGAATACCGGCTTTGCAATGGTTAGATAATTATCTAAAAATGTACAGGCTCAGCCACACGTCACTTACATTGTGTAACATTTGGCCAACAAAAGATGCTCTTCTCATCCCAACGCTAAGAGATATCTGCTAAGATGACCGAAATGATGTAAGTTTGACACATCCTCCAACTGAAATTCAAGCACGTACATACAGTTACCATGTGAAATGGGGCCTGGCCGTCCAAGTGAACAAGCCAAAGAGGATACACAGGCTCAGAATTAATGATACTTGTGGGGACTGTTCTAGTTAGGGCCGACAGATTCCATTTGCAAATATTGTAATTTTCAGCAGGCTGACAAATGCATATGATTATGGCAAAGTGGAAAGCTATATGATGGACATAACTGCCTGTCTATCCACCTCTTTACAAACCCAAGAAATCAACTACTCACGTGGCTATCTATCGACCTAGATACTCACACATTCGCTCCAAGGCTAACCTGCACATCTACCTACCTAACTCCCCTAGCACAATTCTTGTCTATTTGCATAACTGCATACCTGTCTATCTACTCGCCCACTCGACCAACTAACTACATATCTACTCACTTTAGCAAGAAGCTGCTTTTGCCCACTTATATAACTATTTCACTGACTACACACTCGACAACCAATCTACCCTCCTGACTAT